TAGCCTAATACTATTTGAATTAATACAAATTGTTGTTCTAGTATCTCAGGATGACTGAAACATTCAGGCTCTTTGATTTAAAATAAAAGCTAAAAATAATTTAAATTACTACGTTGGTGATGTTTTATCGTTAACATTATCTGTTTACTTTACTTAAGTACTAAAAAATTTATTTAATACAGGAAGTTTTATGCATTAAATTATTAGTCATATATATGTTTTACATATTTCAGTAAACCAGAAACCAATACACAATTAAAAGTATTATCAGTAAATTTCTCTAGAAAAAGAATACAAATCTTTAATTAGAATAACAATGGCATCTCAGTTTGCAATATAAAATATTTATGTCTACATTCTTCTCAAAATGAGAAAGCAAACAAAGATAACTAGCAATAAATTTATAAATAATACTGTAAAAAAGTTTAAAAATGCAATGTAGAATGATAGCAAGATTAAATTTTTGAAGCCTTCCTACAAAAATCAGTTTAAATTCAAAATTTTCTTATCTTCATTTTTTTGCATCTCAAAACAGGTTTACTGCTTTCACTATGTAAATTTCCTGTCCTGGCAGAATAGAAATTGTCATTTCACCAGCAGGAAGTATTTGTTGCCAATTATGTATGCAAATATAATCCAGTGAAAAAAATTCATTTGGCTTGAGTACTTTCTTTATTAAATAAATGAAAAATTCCCATTTAATATTAATTCATGATCCATATGAAGCTTCTTCTTCTACTGTTTGACACAGCTGTTTCAAAAAGCTTGTTTAAAATATATACTCTCTTATAAAAACTGCAGAATTTTTTTTAATAATATGTTTATGGTATTTATCATTAATAAATTTGCTAAAAAAATCCCACAAATTTATGAGTTAGGTAGGTACTCAAAATATAATTCGGCATAGCTCTTTTCTTTTTCCAATGGCAGATTGTGAAAAATTATAAATGCAACCCAGTCCATTAATCTATACAAGGCCAGATGTGGTGGTCTCTTTATTATGGAGGCACCCAATAGGTGGGATACCATTGCCTTTCCTATGAAGGGACGGACAGTTGCTACCATGCCTTCTCTGGGATTCGAATCCAGGCCCTTCGGTATCGCAGTCAGCTTCCCTGACCACAATACCGACTGGGCGACTTCTGCATAACTCTTAATGTATGCATTTCCTTATACATTCTTACAATGAATTAAATACTAAATAATTTAAATAAAATAAGGTCAGTAAAATTATACATTATACCTGCTAATAGCAGTAATCAAATTTTTAATACATTCTTAATTAACAGGATGATTTATTTAATGCAAAATATGAAATTAATCTACACAAAATGGAATAGTTTCATATCATATTTACATCACATGAGGCAGAAACTGAGAAAACTCATTGCACCTGAACTATTATTAGGAATAGAAGTTAGGTCAAGGTATCAGTTTTGGGAAGCTTTAGCCATTTGGTTGCAAAGGAGCTTTTCAACTTAAAGCAGAATATAAGCTAACATTTGTTAATTTTTGCATTCTAGTACAAATATTAGAAACAAACTTAAATAATACTAAATATCCATATTTATTATCAGTGTATCTTTTCCCTCTTCATGTACATTTCTCCTTAATTTTTTTTTTTTTTTTTTGCATGTATGATTTAGAAACTAATTTATGGTAACAAATCAGTTACCGTAAATCAGTAATACTGCATACATAAATAGCTAAGTACTTGTGTGGGTAAAAAGAATATTACTGAAATTGATATCTTTTGAAATACTAATATATATTAGTGAAAAGGGAGATGGAATATGTAAGTAAATACGATAAATCAAAATATAAAACATTTGAGTAAAAAAAAACAATGTAATTATAAAAAAGTAGGAAACACATGAATAGGAGTGATGCAAACAGTGATAAATACATAAGTGCCAAACACAAAGTTTTCACTTTGTTGATCTGGTGTTCTATTTCATTAACAAGACAAAATGCTGAAAATGAATCATTTGGCATGTTCACAAAGTCTAAACATGATACAAGAAAATCACATTTTTTAGACCTCACACTATTCATACAATTTTACATAAGTGAAGAAAGCATGAAAATAAATTTCACTTACTTTCTTCAAATAATACTGTAATATTAGATTTGATACAGCAACATCAATGCATTCACTCAAAAAACTAATACCATACTGACTCACAAAGTCTTTGCACAAACATCCCGCCATATAGCCGGAAGTAGAACAGGTATTTCCTTCTTTGTCATTGGTCAGTGAAAGAGATTTTTTTCCTTTTTTTCGTAATTAAACATATTAAGAAATCTTCTAAATTAACCTATGAAATAAAATTTATTTCTAATCAGAACACTTCTGTAAAAAAGCAATAAAACAATTTTTCTATGAAAAATAGAAATGTCTCTATATGCACATGCTCAGTATATAATTATAAAAGCAGGTATTTTGATAAGTTAGCATAAAATTAACCACTTAAATTTTGCGTTCATTTAATGGCAACATTATATTTATTCTGAAGACCTCCAGATTAAGAATGTCCTTAACTTTTACAGGAAAAATATAAAATCTAATATAATCATTTATTTTTATCTCATATAAAAAATTATTGAAATCACCATATAATTTTCCCAGTGTATTAAATACTATTGAAAAAAGTTAGCCTCGTGTGATTTTTACAGTAATGATTAAAGCAATTGAAATTTATGTAAAATATCAGGATTAGGCTTTCAGTTTCATAAAATTATTATTAAAATGTAAAAATAATTAATATATGACATTAAAATTATTTAAAATCCCCTTTTTTATATTCTATGTTTTTTTTGTTCGAAGATAAAAAAGGAACTGTAAAATGAAATTTGAAAAAAAAAAAAAAAAAAAAAAAAAAAAAAAAAAAAAAAAAAAAAAAAAATAAAAAAAAAAAAAAAAAAAAAAAAAAAAAAAAAAAAAAAAAAAAAAAAAAAAAAAAAAAAAAAAAAAAAAAAAAAAAAAAAAAAAAAAAAAAAAAAAAAAATAAAAAAAAAAAAAAAAAAAAAAAAAAAAAAAAAAAAAAAAAAAAAAAAAAAAAAAAAAAAAAAAAAAAAAAAAAAAAAAAAAAAAAAAAAAAAAAAAAAAAAAAAAAGAGAACAGATACTCTGAATCATAGATTTTTTGCGAAGGTTTTTAGAATTCGTATCATTTTTGTAAAAAAAAAAAATTATGTGCATAAAATATGATAAAGCATCAATAATATCTACAGTTTTTTTAATTTGTATAACTTTCATAAAAATGATGTGCAAAAAAAAAAGACACTCTTATTTCACCAAAATTATATGTATATTTTTGGAGATATGCTGTTTGGGTTATATTCAGGTTAACAAACTGTTTGGAAGTATATTTTATATTTGTACAGGATAGCACAGGGAAGTGTACTGATTTTTGAATGAGCATTACAGAATTAATTTAATACAAAGCTTTATGATTTGATTTAGAAGGTATTTCTCCCGCCTTCCTAGCAGTGTAATGGTTCTGCACACTAGGCCGGTATTTCAGAGGACCGTGGCTCGATTCCCGTTTAAAGCGTTGCTGATTTTTCAATCTCTTTTGTCTCAAAATTTATCTAATATCTCTATTGTGTTATTTTTTTTTCATATTTTAAATCTCTATATATTGGAGAATTGAAAAATGCATTTTCTTTTCTAGAAAATATTTTTTTATATAGATTTTTATCATGAGAAACTAAGTTGCCAGAAATACCAATTTCAGATGTTATCACCCAAAATAAATTTCAGTCGAATTACAATTAATTTCTATTTATTGCATAATATAAAAAAAGTAAAGTTATAAAATTTAAGAAAATATAAAGCACTGAGTGAAAAATACCTTAGAAATGCAGTTTAGTATGATAGAGTTCAAAACAGGTTTCAAGGCAAAGTCCAACTTCACAGTCTTTGCACAAAATTAAATAAATCTAATTAATAATTCAATAATTTAATTAAATAATCAAGATAGTCGCTGAATGTTTTCCAGCAGCCATTTCTGTAAGAAAAAGTGCAAAAAGTGGAGTTTGAGCGGTAATACCACATGCCTTCAAATGCCGCAATTTAGTGAACAACTAACGATATCTGTTGGCCAAAACATAAACTAAACGTCTAATACCGTACATAATTTATTTCAGTGGTTAAACGGGGAAAAAGCGGGATGTGCTACTCAATAAAGAAAGGAAAACACATGCTCGCAGAAATTGCGGATGAGCAGATTTTGCTACATTTGAGTTGCCCGTTGAAATCGCAGGATGATCAGCCAGAGCGTTAAGTCAAGAGGTTGATGTTGCTCCACATGCATGGATGGATCGATTTTCAAAATTTCCTTAACCAATTCCTGTTCCAAAAGTAATGCTAACAAGTTTTGCCGAACCAAATATTGAAGACTACTGAGAAATTCTGCTCTAACTCTCATCACATTTTCTGGTGTTCTTATAGTACATTCAAGCACCTAGTGGTGCTTTAGAGTATTGGTTTGCCTGTGATTTGAAACTGTTTAATCCATTGTAAGATTTTTTTTTCTTTCATATTGAAACTGCTTGATGGGGCCCTGCAAACTGCTTGATGATGCAAAGTAATAAGCAGCAGTCACTGAGTCACCATTTTGTCATAGAAATCATATGAGACATGATGTTCTCTTAACCATGACTCCATAGTAAATGAAAAATAAATGGCATTAGTTTGCATATATATTACAGCAACAATAATAATGTTTCCCGTTATGTTGAATGTGTAATGCTCTTTAGAAAATGAGTGTCACCCTGTAATATAGCTAGCTATGTTTTAGAATATCCACTGTATATAGTATACTAAATTACTAAATGAAATGTTTATTTACTAATAACAATTTATTAACAGATTGACTTTAAAATTTTAGTTTTTTTTTATTGGGGAACTGTATATTTTTTCACTTTTTTCTTTTTTCCTACCTTCCTCTCTATAAATCATATTTTAATTTTTTTTTTTTTCTAATTTTCTTGCAGGTACTGATAAACAAGGCTTTGGGTTTGGTGGAACAGGGAAGAAATCCTTTGGCAAACAGTTTGACTCTTATGGTGAGGTAAATTTTTTTTTTTTTTTTTACTTTTGGCTGCTGTTAAGAATTGGAAAGATATGCTATTTCTCTAAATTAATGTCTTGATCTCTGTAGCCATAAAAAGTTTTAATATAGTTTAGTTATATTTAGTTACATATATTTTCTGAAGTGTACCTTCAAATGAGGAAATGAACAGAAGTTAAAATCAGTGACTTCTGAGAATGTTGGTTTAAAGATTTTTGAAGTTTTAGCTGTAGAAAAGTGCATTGCTTATTTTTAGTTTATATATTTGGGAAATTCTCTGGTGTTCATACTGTACATTTAGCACTGGTGTTGTTTTTCAAGTGATGGTTCTGTAAGACTAGCTACATCTTTTTATGTGGGCTCTGATTGGATTATTTAACTTAGGGCAAGAAAGACACCTGAGAGCTATTTTTCTGAGGCAGGTTGAAGACTTCTTAAGAGAAACTTATTCACATTACTCATGGAGAAAACTAGAGCAACTCCTATGCAGCCAATCTTATAAAACCTCTTGAAGGCACCTCCTTAGACAGATAACCTTTACCATATGTTAAGTTTAGGATTATGTATCCTTAGATTGCCAATAGATGGCGGTAGTGTTTGTAAAAAGAAACTGTGATGTCATAATTATGTATATGTATCAGTTCATCAATAAACGTTGTGTGGAATAACGCTCCTCTGTTTATTACTTCACATTTGATCCAGTCGGATTTATTAGAGACTTACATATATTTTGTTTACCATGTCCAAAAAGCCCCTTAGTTAGCATTTTGCAAACCCATAATGCAAGAGTAGGTAATGAACCCAAATGGTGTATTTTTAATTAGTAAACAGTTTTGCATGCCCTTAGTAATTAATCTGATTTAAATTTTAGATGTTGATTGATTCAGCTAAATAATTTCAGTGAAATACATTAATCACCACAGTATAATGTTTTGTACCATGCTGGCTTTGAGCTATAGCTTAAACATTTTTTTTAAGCTGCTGAAAAATATTAATTTGTGACATTTAGCATTTTTGTGCTGTTTATGCATTTAATGGAGAAAAGGGCAAAATTCATTTAAAAAAAGAGAGAGAGAGAGAGACCAAATATTTGCCAAATTCGGCACCATAACACAAATGAAACACTTGCAAATGTATGACATTGATAAGTTTTAAGAATGCTTACAAGCGATATTTTTAGGAGCTTCCCCCCCCCAAAGTGGTAATTTGCCGAGAAGGGCTATTGATTTCGCTTTGGCATTTTGCATTGGTTATAAAAGTCTGAATCACATTTCAGATTGTTGCCACCAAATATTAGAATCCTGCATTATAATTCAAGAAATTAAATAATGAAGACTCTGCATGAATGTATGTATGTTTCTAGAATTGTGAAAAAACAACAGTACCTAGAGACATCAAATTTTGAATTGCTTAGTCCTGCACTCAAATATGGGCATCTGGAAGTACAAATTTGGAATTTGTTTTATTATCTATTTCATATTTTGTAAAACTTTTGAATTTTTGTATTTCATATTTTGTAAAACTTTTGAATTTTTGATTAACAAACTCTATGATTTCAAAAGTGTTCCATTAATATTAACATCATGTGCATCTTCAAGCATGAGCATTTTATACACAAGGTTTCTTTACATTTCTAACTGGTTAAACATTTTGTGATATTGCTGTTGAATTTTGTGGTTTAAGTGCGAAGAACATGATATTTAATAAGTAAAGGTAACACACAAAGTGTTAAAAAAATCCCTTTTGGCATAATATAAAATCTGAAAGCCTTCATATTTACTTATATATATATATATTATACTTTGATTATGGATCTGTAGGATATATCAAACAGTGGAGGTGATGCTATTAGTTTCTTACAAGACTATAATATATTGCCAAGTAATCATCAGTGTTCCAATTTGTGTATTCCAGAGTTCATATGTAAGTTTAGCTTAGCATTAGTATGTTTTGCTATTAATTAAGTACCTTATTTGACGGCATATAAGACGCACTTTTTTTCCTAAATTTGGTCTCTGTTATCTGCATCTTATACGCAAAGTTGAAAAAGTTATCTGTGTCTTATATGTGAAGGACACAGGCTAACTTTCAATACTGAATGCTATTTTTAGCCCGGATAAAGATCTAGACACACATAACTTTTTCTACATCTGCATGTGTATCCTTCTAAATAATCATCTTATATGCCAGTGCGTCTTATATGCCGTCAAATACGGTAATCTTATTTAATCCTAATTCCAGTTGCCTTCTTCTGAAGGAAAATAATGATGTTTTGTTATCTCTCTAAACCAAGAATCCTGAAGAATTTTAATTAAATATCTTTTACTGAGATAAAAAGCCACCAAATTTTTACCAGGTATTCATTATGTAGGATAGTATAGTATACTTATTGAAATGAAGCCATTCCTTAGTCCCTTCAGAGCTGAAATCTTATATTATTGGATTTTTTCTTTTAAGCAGGGAACATTGATCTATAATGAATGAATGGGTTTGGGATATTTTCCATCCAAAAGAAAGAATTACTAAAAGAATTGCAAGTGTTCTTGTGCTGTGTCTTTGAGATCAAATATCATTCAATGGGAGCACATGCCGTGATTTTAATGCTATGAACAATACACAATACATGAAACATATTAATGGTTTGTACAATTTAAGTTAGATATTAACTACTGTAGCATTATGGAAGATATTGTTTAATGTGTATTCTTATATAAACTGATTGTATTGATACCTTGTTTAATAGTTACAGATAGTTGTCAGTGAGATCTTCAGGAAATGGCTTAGTTTTTATACTTGTCATTTTCAAATCTATTAAAAGACAGGGTTTGTGCAGTCCTTAAGAGTCCTTAAAAGTCCTTAGATTTTTTGGAATCGGTTTTTGGTCCTTAAAAGTCCTTAATTTTAGCCAAAATCAGCAGAAAGTCTTTAATTTTAATCATCTGAAATTTCTGTTTGTTTTTATGACTGCCATTTTGAGTGTGAATTAGCATTTTGGAGGAATATTTTTGGCAATTCACTTGACGTATATGGTTATTCTTTGAACGGGTTCATGGGTTATAATTTGTTTCTATTTCTAATATAAGAGTGATGGGATACTCGAGGTTTCATAGTGCAAAGAAAGTAAAACATAAGCATTTTGCAAAATTCATTTCATTTTTTCTAATAAAGAGCTCTTAAACAAATTTTTGCTTTTGGGGGATGTGAAATTCTTTTATTACATGGTTCTGAAATTTAGTGCGACTTATCAACATTTTGGCAATTTTAAGATCCAGTTTCTGTAGAAAATTTTTAATTTCGAGATCTGAGGAATTTTTCAATGATTTTTTTTTAAAACATTGTAACATTGATAAATTTCATTAAAATATGGTAATATATTGAAATTATATTTAAAAAATAACATTAAAATAAAACATTTTTATTTTTCACTGTCATATTATAAAGTTTCATTTTGGCAACTTATTATACAATATTTTGAATCTGAAAAATAAACAAGGTATACTAAAAAGCACAATACAGCCCAATAATAAACAAGGTATACAATAAAGCACAATTTACGAAACAGCCCTTAGCAAAAGTAAAATTAGCTATGTAATTAATTATAAATGTCTTCTTTTTAAGTTTTTCATGGTAAGAATTTTTTTCCATGTAATTGCCTCAGAGTTCTTAGAATATGCATCAGTTTTCTCTATAAAATTAATTTTACACTTTTTCCCTCCTTTTTTTTTTTTTTTTCCCAAACTATTTCTGACCTTTTGCTGTTACAAAATTGTTAGGGATAATTTTTCTTAAGGATTTTAGAAATTGCAGCTTGGAAAGTTTAGAATAATTTGAAGGCAAGGTTTGTAGACCCATGATTCTAGAAGATTCGAGAAATATGTGACAAAATGAAAAATGTCTCCATGGTATCAACACATAATGGATGTATTTTACAGAAAGTTTGCAATGAATGAATTTCTTACTTTTGGGAGAACGTCGTGGAAGAACAATGAAGACATAATATTTGAAATGTTTTTTACTTCCTGATACTAGAATCTTTTTCTTTAACATGTTTATCTTCCCTTTATTTTCTCTACTTTTCACTAGACACAAGCATGGAAAATATCAAAAATGCTTCTAATCTTATCACATTGGGCAGGCATACTATATAGAAAGAGATTTTTTTATTAATAAAGAAATTGAAAACTTACAATTTAAAAGATTAATCTAATATTTCTTAATGCACCATACTCATAGCTGGCTCTAGGCATTTTCCCACTTGATGCAATCTCTGTGGATCCTAAATTCTGTTGCCTAGTGCCTTTCTAAATGCATCCAATGCCAGCTCTAAATTCTAAAAGTTTTGCCATTTATAGATTTTGTTGTTCGGTGTGTCATTCAATTCTAAAATTTCTGCTACATCAGCTCTGTAACTGGCCTTTACCATATATATTTCATATTTCTTCTGAATATTCATATTACTAAAGAAATAAAATTAGCCGCTTTTTCTGTACATTCTAAATGCATTTAGTGTTTTTTAGAATAACAGAAATCCTTAATTAAATCAAAAAATTCTAAAATGAAAAGGAAATGTGTTGAAAAAAGAAACTGAATACATAAAGAAAATTATTCTTCAAAGATATATACAGTTATTTATTATGTAAATTACCTTGTTTATGATTTCAGCCTTTACTATAATTTCCCATTTCGGTTTCCTCATATAATAAGACTTACTGAGCAGCTTAAATTAAAATTAAATTGAATAGTCTTTGATCAGTAGCCCACATTTTTAGTTTGAATTTGACTGTTCTTGTTTAATTACATCACCACGAGTTGTAATTGATATTTTTAGCATCAGAACATTGCCTTTATGTTCTGAATTCTTTTTAAATAAGAGGCTTATTTAAACCTCTGTTTGGCATTGTAGTTGTTTTCAGACATAGCGATAATTTGCTTCACATCTGTCAGTTTTTTTTTTTTTTTACTAATTAGCTTTTAACAGATTAAGTAAACCCTCATTGGAAAGAGATTGACAGGTTAAGAGATAAAGCGCGCAGAAACCACTAAGAACACTGGTTTGCGTATTGAGACAAATTTCTGATTATTAGGAAAGATGCTTAAAGAGAAGGAAATCGATGTAAATGAGCCAAAATGTCTGGGAAGGCTTCAAATTAAAAAAACGCATAAATATTTTGGTGAGTGGTTTTGTAGCTTTAATGTATAATTCTAATATCGTTTAAAGAATCAATGTCATAAATTACATGTATTTTAAACTGTGAAATTTTATTAGATTTTGATTTTAATAGGGCTTTTTTAACAAATATTGTTAAAAAATAAAATTTAATAGTGGCCATGTAAATCCATAATGACTAAGGTTATTAACCTACCTAATTTAATTATTGATAACTAACTGCTTACCCTTAAAAATTTTCTCTACATATTAAAGCGAGTTATTGCCTTTCATTAATACTCACTGTGGTCAGGTCCATATGCGACCGAGCGGTAAAGACGCTGAACACTGGTAATTCAGTCCGAGGTTTGAATCCCACGAACGGGCTGGCTGCATGGGCGTTTTCGTGGTTTTCCCCATGTGTAACGTGTATGTGAGCCAGTTTCCCTTAGAAAGTCCACCACGAAGGTATCCATCTCTTTAGGCAGATAGCCCTCGTGTGCTTTGTCATAGTTAAATAATCAAATTCAATCCAATCTGGTCACAAGATAAAATACAAAAATGTAAAACTTCAAGTAAAACTTATTCTTTGCATCTAGTGAGACTTAATACGAAACAACTTATCACCTTTGGTGCTTTAATGGCTTATTGGAACCTTAAAATATATTAACTGGGTTACAACCCCGCAAACTCTACATGAAGCTATAACACTAACTGCATCAAAAAGGGCCTGACTGACTTTCAACACTTGCCAACTGTGCCTACATCAGGCCTTTCAGGTTTGTTCGAATCAGCAGGTCTCTCTCTAGATTAGCAGCAGTGGTGACTACATTCAGTCTTTTGTTATGAATCATGTATATTATGATCTTACCTTTTATTTTAACTTATGCCGTTTGACAAAATGTACCTGCTATTTACGAAACCAAGTAGACTGACAAAGTATGTGACAAAATGAGGCATTAAAAAAAATCAACATAAAGCTAACTGTTAGTAAAACGTAAATGTCACTTATCTTCTTTCAAATATGTCCAACTATTATAAGTGTAAAATATTTAATGCTACTTGATAAATTGCATAAAGTTTATTTTATTCTCAAATTTAATAATAATTATGTTAATTAATTCATGTTTAGTAATAATGCATACTAAGGGATCTATTTTATTTTTAGGATGGTATTACAAGAGGGAAATTCAGGCATAGATAATATTTTTAATTGAATTTATTCAGTTCCCATTTGCTCATAGGTCCTTTTTTTTTTTTCATTAATGGTCCTTAAAAGTCTTTAAAAGTACTTAATTTCCGTGTGCAGAAATGTGTATGAACCCTGAAAGAGTTATCAAAATGCTGTATGTCGGTGGTCTCAAACTAGTGGCCCACAGATACATTTCAATTATGTTATTTGTTGTAAATATTTCAAGATTTTAATTATTTGAAGGTCTGAGTTTACATTATATTTGTTGTCATTAAAAACGAGCATGAATAATGCACCAGAAAAATTAAGCTAATTAATTTACAGTGGGCTGTAAATCTTATTCAGAAATTTGAAGATACAGATTTAATTAACATTTATCTATACTTGTTAAAAAATAAGTTCTCTTAGTTAAGAATTATTCATAATAATGGCTTTGTTTGTGTAATGCCCATTTATATGGGAACTGCCTTTTTTCACTGTCATAAGAAAAGAAACCCAACTGACTGAACAGCATACTATCCATGAAAAAAGATAGTATCTAGTAATTATCTCCAATGCACAAATATTATGCAAACACATTTTGTATTTATGTACATAATATACATTTGTATTTGTATACATGTATATCAAAACATATGTATTTTAATTTAAGTGTTAAAGAAAAATTAAATAAATTAAAGATACTCTCAAGTTATTAAAACATATTAGATTTATTTCAAATAAATTTCAGTCTAAAATATTAATATTTAGCTGTCAGTACGTTTGAATCGCAAACTATAACCAACAAAAAATATCATGCTGGTACCAAACTTTAGATTTAGATAGGAAATAAATATATATTTTTATTTTTTTCCTCCGTATTATTATTATTAATGTATGTTTTGATAAATATTTAATAAGCAAAATTTTAATTAAAGTACTTTTAATTTTGCTGATGAAAATTTGATTTTACTGGAAGAAAAATGTTTGGTCCACATTCTGTGTTTTGAGATGACTGCTTCTATTCACATCATTTGAACTGATTCTTTCTTTTAAATTTATGGATTTTACATAGTATTCATTTTATGTGCATATGTATTATTTGCTTTTTTTTTTTTTTTTTTGATTTTATTTTAGCCATTTGGAATGCATGATGTTATTGGTTGCTTTTTGAATCTTGATAACATGATTATTAAATTTTCAAAAAATGGTAAGAATTTTTAATTATATTTTACTTTTGACATAATCATATTATTGAATGTTTAAGAAAATATTAATATTAATATTAATAAAAAATTTAGGTGTCGATTTGGGCGATGCTTTCAAAATTCCTGATAATTTACGTAGATCTGCATTCTTTCCTGCTGTTGTTTTAAAGGTAAGCTGTAAAATTTATTAAACTTGTTACTTTCTCATATTTCTCATATCTCTTTTCTGTTTGATAGACATGACATGCTTACAAGTTGAATTTTATCCACTGTTCTGAATATTGTAAAATTTTATTCCATATACTTTGTTAGATATATATTAGTGTTTTAAAAACATCACCTAGTCACTTTATTTTTTATGTGTTCATCAAAAATTTCTATTTTAGAATGCTGAGATGGAATTTAACTTTGGTGAAACTTCCTTCAAGTATCCACCAGAGGTAAATGGTACTTCTTATGTTCTCAATTTATTCTCTTGTAATTATTTAATCAAGTTATAGAATATGGTTCTTGTATTTTAGGATGGCTATGTTGCAATATGCTCAGCTTCTAAAGAATGTACTGTGAATTCAACAGTCACAGGTAAAATATAAAAATTTGGTTCTATTTTCTGTTTTATAAATGAAGCAATTGTTTATGTAGGATGTTATGATCAAATTCAAGGAATTACTAAAAATCTTCATAATGAAAAAATTTATTGTCAGATTACTCAAATCGAACTGGGGGGGGGGAAATGCTTAAAACTGCCAGAGTAAGAAGCTTATAAATTAGCTGAAAGTTTAAAAAAAAAAAAAAAAAAAAAAAAAAAAATATCGTTCTTGTGATTTCAGCATTCTAATGCACCAAATTCTTCTCAATTATCATAAAATATCAGAGTTCTGTTCATATTATTTAATTAAATTTTGACTTAAGTCAAAATGGATTCTTAACATTAAATTGGTACCAAATACTTTTCTCTGAAACAAAGAATTTAAAACCAAATTTTACAAAAGCATAATGTTAAGAAATATGCATATCTTATGTACAATGCTAGAAAAAAGTTGTTTTTCATGTTTTATTTAAATTTTATATGAAATACAGTAAAGAAAAAAATTAGGAGCCTAAAGCCAACATGTCTTACAATAATAGAAAGGATATGTTTTAAAGAATTTAATGTGTGTAAATAGTTTGAAACTTGGAAAAGAAACATTTTGAATCTCTTCAAGTACTAAAACTTACTTCTTAATTAAATTTTTTTTTTTTTAATTTTCATTTTTATGTTGAAATATATAATTTTTCAGTTTATGAAACTTTAATTTCCTGTTATTAATTTTCCCCCTTTTTAACATTTTTGTACACAATAAGTTTAGACATTAACTCAGCTAAATCTGGTGTTTTACCATAGACACTGCTTAATGTGATCACATTTGTTTACGCTGTTTTGATAACATTAACTGATTAAAAAATATTACTCAGAACAGCAATAGAATTAAACTAATTTCATACAAATGTAACTAGAAGTGTACCAATAAATACTCTTATAAAATGTTAATTAGGAATGTGCAAAAGTTTGCCCATGAAGTGTTCATAATGCTTCTGAAAATTATTTAACTGGTGATATATCTCTAATCTAAATGCTTGAAGATCATCTATAATTTACTGGATGAAAATATGCCAATGGAAAATTTAAAAGGCATATATGCTCTCAGGTTTTTTTATTTATTAATTTTTTTAGGAAGCAGAATAGAAAAGTATCTATCCCCTCCCTCTTCTTGAAGAAGAGGGTTTTCTCTGTGATTACCCTCAACATCAAGAGTTATTCAAAGTCTATGTCAAACTCAGGTTGTTTTTTCTCCCTATTCCCTTATTTTAAATGGTTGGTTAAAATTGGAAATAAGTTATTTGGAAACTTGACTCCTCACATGAGGACATTTCTCTGTCATTTTGCAATTTTTTTTATAATATAGTTTGATCTTATTTGATGACATTATCTCTTATTTATTGACTTGGTGGGGGTTCAGTATCAGTATCCAAATGATAACGTTAATCATGATCACATTAATTGGCATCTACTGTATATCTACAATCATAGTTCTTTGAATAACTTCTGAATATTAGTGGATACTCTTTTGATTTAAAAAAAAAATCTAAATTTAAATTTTCAGTTTGTGTTAGATTTTTACTCTATGCCATTTTTATTGCTACAGTTGTTTTCTAAGGTATGTTTTTAACCTTGAATTTGCTGATCTACTTTCTGATTATGTGTAACCTTATAAAAAGTTACCTGTTTATTGGTGGTTTCGTGAGTTGACTATTCTTTATCTCATGGTATGCTTGCCTTCAAACTAGTTTCTGACCTGCATTCTAATATTTTGCAGTGTTTGACATTGCATAGCCACAGATTTAATCAGTTAGTATACTTCATAGCATTTGAATTTTTGCATTCTTTATTGACAGGCAAAACACAGGTAAACTCTACATCTGGTAGCTCTACAGTTACATTATATTGTTAAGCAGGTAAACACTGATCAACAAAATATTAGTTAAATGTAAAGAATGTGTTCTGAAATGCATGTAAGGTATGTGCTTGTATGGGTTGGATATTGTTGCAAGTATACTAAAGCAAAATAACAACACTATCAGCTGGTGAAATTGGAGGTGCAGAAACTGTTACAAACTGCTGCATTTCTTAAAATGTGGTCCTGCGTAAAATTAATCATTTGAGTACAGATTTATTAAAAAAAAAATTTCGTGTTTGGAATGGATTTAATTTAATGTGTGGAATACTATATAAAGGCTGTAGATTTTGCAAGAGAACTTATTAAGCGATATGCTGTACATAGTAATTAGAATTGAAAATCAAATTTAAATTCAGAAAAGAAACAAAGTGAAAATAAATTGAACGAAAATAATCTTTTGAAACAACTAACCTTAGGATTATAGCCTAGTGTATACAGACATATAGAAATGATCCCAGGTATTGCACAAAATCATTTTACATCAAAAGATTTTCCTTCCAAATCTGTTCCTCTGGGAAATCTTCACTAGAACATTCATAATAACTGCTGGATAAGCATTTGTTTTGTTTTTGAAATCTTGGTAATATTTCATTATCATCATCTTTTTCTAATTTGATATTATCTTTGAAACTTTCATCTTGAAATTCACTACAGTTCTCATCATCGTAAGTCTCCTCTTTCATTAAAACTTTTGTTAACACTTTCATAAAATTTATTACTTATTTCTGATACTTTGGGCCAGTTTGTCACTAACAAGGTTCACTGAATCACTGGAGGAAATGTCCTCTTACAACTGTTACAAATCACTCTTGCTGTGAACAAGAATATACATGTTTAATTTTGTAAATCCTAGTTTGAATGATGAATTAGATTTGTCATCCATAACTTAGGCAAAAATAGTGCATGATGAAACTCTGTCGTCAAGTGTACTTAAGGCATTAAGCCCAAAATTTTTGTTCACATTGCTGAACCATCAGTTCACTTTTATAATAATAGGCTTCATTTATTTCAATAACCAAATGTTAAACCTGGAACATTTTGGGAAAAAACTGTAAAAATGTGTGTTTTACAGTTTTTTTTTTTTTCACTGGATGTTCCAGGTGTTTTTTAGAAAAAAATAAAACCGTGGATTTAAGAATAGTGTAAGAAATTAAAAAAAAAAGCAGTGATGTCTAAACAGTTAAGCTAGCATCACTAAAACATACCAGTGAGCTTAAAGCGTTAGTCAAAAGGAAATAAAATTCTTTTATCTATCAGAAAATATATATATTATTTGAGTAATGTAAAACTACTGTTTATCTTGTTGCTATCTATTATGTTTTGTGTTTCAAAAATATTGTATAATTTAATATCTTTTAACACAGCTTTAAAATAGGGTTGAATCAAATAATGTGCACTTGCAGACTTGTAATTTTGTAGCATGACACATCTTAATAGATATACAAAATTAAAGTTTTTATAGTCATTTATGAAAAATGCTTCTTCTTTATCTTGCAAAACATAGCCCATAATGTGCAAAATTATTTCAAACTACCCCTAAATCAATATTACATCATTTTATTAATTATGATAATCTATTATGCAAAATTTAATGATATGATTTGATGATAATATGATTTAATGAATATTCTTTTACTTTTAGGAGAATCATCTGGTCCTGTAAAAAATATTTAAAAAAATGCATCTCAAGCAATTATAATAGATTATAATATAATGGGCTGTATATAATATGTATCATTGATTTGATTAATATTCTTTTACTTTTAGGAGAATCATCTGGTCCTGTAAAAAATATTAAAAATGCACCTCAAGCAATTATTATAGAGGTAATTCAGTAGAATTATTTTTATATATTGGAAATAGCATATTTTGATAGTTTTAAATTTAGATAACTATGAATTTCCAGTTATTAACTAAAAGTTGTCCATGCAAATATAATTTTTATGTGATATTTTTCAAGCTGTATGTGAGTGTAAATTAAAAACAGCTTTTTAGAAAAAATAGAAAGACATTTAAATTTCATTTTTCTTGTTTAAATTTATGAGTAAAAATTAAAATAAGTATTTTTTTTCATTTAATATATCATTAGATAATACAGAAAATTCAGTGTTTTTAGATAATAATTTATTTTTTTCATTTTTCATTTTTTTATGTATGTGTTGCCATAGCTCAAATTATATTTTCACATTAAATAATTATATGTGCATACGGTTTCAGACTTTACAAAATCATAGGCCATGTAACTTTGATAAAAAATTTCTGATTTTTTTTTTTTTTTTTTTTTTTTTAAGCCATCAAGAGAATTAGCAAAACAGGTAAGTAACATTACGTTTCAAATTTTCTTCATTTTGTAAAGGCCTAAAAGGTGTTGTATAAGCAAGTATTCTTCTTTAGTATAACTGTGAATTTTCACTTTTTGGTAATCATATGAAATTTTTATTGCAAATATTGTAGTTCTCTTCTAATATTGTTTTTTTTTTTTAATTCTTTATATATTCACAAAGATATTTTTTTTCAGACTCTGAAATGTATACAGAATTTCAAGAAACATCTTCATAGTCCTAATGTTAAGTAAGTAGTTTCAATACTTGATTTCAGAGAAAGTATTTTTGGATGTTTTATGAGGAAGAATATTAGGTGTGTTTTATGAAAGAAGAGTGTGGAGTTATATATTTTAATATCACAGTACGAAATCTGAAATCCAAATGTTCAATATCCAGACACCTGAATCATCAGCCAAAAAATAATAAATAAAAAAAATCTCTGATAGGCATTGTATTGATGTTGGTCAGAATCACGAGAACGAGAGGTAAGCATTTGTGACCCCATACAATCTCTGCAGGTTTTCAATTCTGCAGTTTTCCCCTAAATTCTAAATATTTTACCACCCCTAAATTCTGCTGCTCATTGCTTCTTCAAAATTCTAAAAAATTTTCAATCTATAATTTTTGCTGCTCTGTACTTTTTTAAAATTCTAAAATTTTTGTCACTCCTGAATTCTGCTGCCTGGTGTGGCTGCACTAACTCTGATGGCAGTCGTGTTGGGAGCATAGCATTCTTCTACCTGACATAAACTATAAATGAAACGGCAGTGTTGCCATGTGTATGTATTAGTCACCCAGTGGCCAATGATGCTTACTGTTGTACCAAAGGGCTTAAGTTTGAAACTTATAGAACTCATGGATGTTTGTAAGCGTATAATGTCTGTCCAGCAAGGGGCTACTCAAAATACAAAATGAGTCAAACGTCCCCTCAAGAAGTTGATGGGGACCACTTTCCATGATGATCTTCTTTAAAATTGGGCGGGAAGCTTAACAAGTAGGTAGGTTCAGCAGTACCTTAATCAGCTGTGGTAGTCCAGAGATGCTGGCCTAGCTTTTAATTGTACCTATCTACATATTATAATACAAGATTTAAACTGATGATCAAATATCCCAAATCTAGAATGAAGTTTCCCAAATCTAGAATTGCTGAAGGTCCTGATAATTCCAAATCATGCTTTCCTTTGAATAATTTTGTTTCACATTTTTTATATGTGTGGTCCTGTATATGAAAAATCATATTGTGTAAAAGTGATCTGAAGGTAAAACAGTAGTTTGTGAAAAAAATTTGGACTTAAAATAAAAAAAAAAAAAAAAAAAAAAAAAAAAAAAAATATTAGCACTGAATGACAAAAATATCAAAAGCAGAGTGTTGAAAAATCTGTACTGACACCTCCACAATGAAAAGGAAAAAATTATTCTTTCCTCATTTCAAATTTCTTATAATAGATTTAAAAAAAAGTCCAGAGAGAAGAAAGAGTGGTTAAAAGAAAATTAGTTTGCAAGGTGTAAATTCAGTAATATCAAATTTGTTGAAGACTAGGTTAGTTTTTTGGATTATGCCAAAGCAACAGAAAGTGCCATCTGCTTCAAAGGAGGGATTTCTTTGTGGAGAACTTTATGTTTGAGGGAAACTGGTTCATATGCATTTTACATCTATACCCAGGTCAAGTTTCTATATTTAAAAATCTTAACTGCACTACTGGTGAGCCATTGATAAAGAATAAAACTATTTAAAATGCTGAAAGAAAGTTTAATCTTTTCTGAAAGACTTGGATTCCAGCCTCGTATTCTATTAGGTTGTAGCATTTTATGTCGAAATAGTAATTTTTCTGCATTGTTTAGAGTAAGATATAACATTATCCTGTAACAGTAGGCTAATACTGACAAGAGCTGCAGGTTGTTTCATGTACACTGCACAAAAAAGGGGGGAGGGGACAGTTCTATATCTCCTGTTCTGCTGCGACAATTGACACAATTAAAAAAATTAGTAAAAAACAAAAATGAAGTTCTTGTTTTGTGAGAGGAGGGATTTCTCACCCAGTAATGTAGTTCTGTTGACAGGGAGGGAAAGTAATAATTAGTTTTCTTCGACAGCTTCTTTACGTGGGATAGAATAAAATTTTTAATTTGCTGGTACCTATATTCACTTTTTAGTCCCACCAGTAATTCAAACATATCCAGATTCCCTTTTATAACATGATATTTCCATAAGTATATTTTGGAGGGTTTTGGTTATTACTGTGGGAGTGACTGTCAGGTTACCCTGTGTTGAGTAGCGGCTGGTAGTGTATCTGACTCCTTATAATGATTGGGTAAGGTTGCAAGGTTGTGTACTTCTCCTGCATTTTAATTCAAAACATATTTATTACAATAACGAGAGGCTGTTTATACACACACACACACACACATATATAATTCATAAATAGCATAGATAAGTATTAAAATGAATTGTAGTCCTCATAGTGTGAGAAGTCTGCTAACGAAATTCTCTCTAGTCGAGAGTTCAGGAGCATCGCAGAGGTCTGTCTAGTCGAAAGTTTAGGAGTGTTCTTCTGATATAACTCCGATGATGAAAATTTTCAGACAGAATTAGCCGCACCTCCTTAATTTAACAGTAGCATTTTACATCCTCTCATTCGTTATACCTGGAAGGATATCAGAGGAAAAATCATTGGTTCGTCACCCCTCTTGAATTTGAGAAGCTTTGACGACAGACACAGTGCACAATGTTAAAATCTCCTGACACTAGTCAGGAAGTTATGTCTCAATGATGTCAAAAACATATTGTGTGACTCATCGTAAAGGCTGGGAGCAGTGAATTGCAGGGACCACACACATGATTTACTTATCTCTGTGTGGTCTGCCACATACTCCCCCTCCAGTATCATCGTGATGATATGTAAAAATCAGGCAAAGGCACATGTCTGCCCGAACGAGTTTGACGAATATTTGGTTTGGCGTGATGAGCATATTTAGGTTTCAAAGTATCAGGAGAGAGAGTATCCATGTTGGTATTCAGCAGAAATGCTGGTTTCACCTGAGCAGTTGAGACCAAAACAAGTTTTTCCATGAATGCATAATTTGAACACTTTTTCACTTGTTTTAGAACTTTAAAAGGGCAGTCGTATGCTGGTCGAAGTGGCCGTCGTACTGTATCACATAACACGTTAACTCATTTTTAAATCTTTTTGAATAAACCCTGCTTTTTGTTGTATGTGATCCATTTGGATTTGATTTAAGTTGCTACGTGTAACTTCGAAGTTCGACGTATTCTACAGGATCAGTTGCAACATTCAATGTGTTGAAAAAAATTGCCTGAGAGTTAAATGGTAATTCCGTACACAAGTTCAGCAAGCATGCAGCCGATGGTTTTTTTGAGGGCTGTTCTCAAACCAAGTAGCACAGTTGGTAGAACTTCTGTCCATTTTAGTCGCGACACATTAATGCAGCTTTAAAAGGACGGTGAAATTCCACAATTAAGCCATTGTTTTGAGGATAATAAGCAGTTGTGTGTATTCGTTGTATGCCTAGGAGTTTAGTTAGAGCCTTAAATAAACAAGATTCACATTAATGGCCTTGATCGATTGTAATAGTAGCTGGTACACCAAAGCGGGTGATCCAGTTGGCATAGAAGGCCTCCTTACCATTGTAGCTTGAATATTGATGATGGGGATAGCTTCTGTCCATCTAGTAAACTGGTCGATAGCTGTTAGGCAATATGTGAATCCACTAGAAGGTGAATTGGGCCAATAAGATCTATATGAATATTTTGAAATCACATAGAAGTTTCACTAAATGGTTGTAAAGGGGCTGAAGTATGTTTATTTTAGATTTTTGGCACGAAATACACTGTCTTGCCCAGTTCGTGACATCTTTGTTGATATTTAGCCACACATACACCGACTACGAACTATTTTTGACATAGTTCAAATGCCTGGATGAGCTAAATTATGTAGGCAATTAAAACACAGTTTTCGAAATGCCTTAGGAATATAAGGTCTTGCTATACCTGTAGATATATCACAATATAATTCTATTTCTGAATTTGGGAGCTTAATCTTTTTCATTTGTAAAGAATTGTTAGTGTTAAGTATTTCTTTTAACTCATCATCTCTTGATTGTTCTCAAGCAATTTCTTCATAATCAATGGATCCATCGATTTTAATTTTGTGAATGCGAGATAATGTGTCAGCCACAATACTGTCAGTTCTTTTAATGTACTGAATATCAGTTGTGAATTGAGAAATTAAATCTATCTGATGAGTTTGACGTGGGGATCATTTTTCAAGTTTTTGTTTGAAAGCAAATATTAATGGTTTGTGGTCATTAAATACTGTAAATTTGTGTCCTTCAAATTTAGATACATACATCTAATTCAAATTTAGATACATGATGTATCTAAATTTGCGAATGAATGAGTTATATTGCTAATAACTCTCTATCATAGGCACTGTATTTTGCCTCAGTGTTTGTGAGCTTCCTAGAGAAAAATACTAGAGGTTTGAGCCCTTCTTTAGTAACTTGATTTAGAGATCTGCCAATAACATAGTCAGATACATCGACCTGTAGAAGGATGTGCTAATAATGTAGCATTTGCTAACTGTTTAGCATTTTCAAAAGCTTCACTTGTTTGCAAAGACCAAGGAATTTTTTGCCAGTCATTCTTTTTTGAACCTTTTAAATATTCGCAGAGTAGTGCTTGAATATGTGTTGTACATGGCAGATACCTACAGCAAAAATTTAGTAAGCCTAAGAACTTCTTCAAGTCTTTAAGAGTTTCTAATTTTTTGAAGTTCAGAATTGCATTCACCAGTTCGGGTAAATGTTTAGTGCCATCCTTGTTTATTAAATTGTCTAAGAATTCTATTTCAGGGACTTCAAAAACACATTTTGAAGTATTTAACTCAAATCCATATTCGTTTAATTTGTGTCAAACTTTGGAAATGTGTTGTTTATGAAGTGTTTCGTTTTCTGAGATTATTAGAATGTCATCTAAGTATGTGTAACAAAAATCTAGTCCTCATAGCACTTCTAGCATGAAATGCTGGAATGTTTGAGCAGCATTTTTGAGTCCAAAATTTAAATAAGGAAAACTCAAAACGACCAAAAGGGGTAATTACCGCTGTTTTAGTTGTGTGTTTTTCATAGACGGGTATATGATAATAAGCCCTTGCAATGTCTAATTTAGAAAACACTGTTTTGCCATGCAGAGATTGAGCGAAATCTTGTATATGTGGAATAGGATAT